ACTGTTAAGATGAGCACTGTTATATTTTTAATTATTAGTTTTTTTCGAGAACAAATTAACTAAAGTAATAAGTTTATTTAGTTATTAGTAAATGCTGATAATTATTTTAGGCTGTTAGCATATGCTAATAAATAAAACATATAGTACTTCATATAATTTCTTCTCAAAAAATTTTAACAAGTAAAATAATTGTGTTCATTTCTAGATTTTATGTTATACCTATAATATATAACACAGCAAATTACTTATGCAAGACTGTTCCATACAATCTTAAATGACCATACGTTCAAGTGATCTTATAAAATTATTTTGTAGTCATTTCAATTCTACTAAATTCACTCATATTTTCAAGTATTCTATCTCTACGCAAAAATATGAGTGGAATTTAGTAGGGTTGGAATAATTACAAAATAATCTTATAAGATCCTACAAATCTTACAAAGAAATCATGATATAATTTGCAAATCTTTAATAAGATCTTGCATTTATTAAAAATCTTACTAAGAAACTGTATGTAAGCTTAGAAATCTTAATAAGACCTCATCAGTTTTCTTGCACGTCTTGCAAGTCTTACTACTTTTACTAAGGTTCTTAATAAAAAGTCTTATTAAGATTTGTAAGATTCGTCGCTCTGGGACACATATAAATATTTTTTTTCATATTTTGATAGGCTTATATTTTTAACTTTTAGATTTTTTCCTGAAAAAGTTTGCTTATTATAGATATAGAAAAATGATAACAAAAAGCTTTTCGCCATGGTAAGTTGAATACGATTTTTTATTGTTAAATAACATAGGTTGTCAACTTACATTAATGTTTTGTGAACTTCATTATAGTTATACCCAACAAACACTCGATATACCAAAAAACGTACAATATATGTTCAGTTTACGTTCTGAACCTCCTAGACCTTTTTGGAACCAAATTATTTTATCTTGGTCAGCATCGAACGTTTAAAAAACGTCTGAATTAAGTTCGAAAGTGTGCCTTTTTATAATAAAAAATCAAAAAATAATAATGTAACTCGACAACTTAATAACCTATACTATTTTACAATAAAAAAGCTTGTTTAACTTACCATAACTTAAGAATAGTGAAAAGTTTTTTATTATCACTTTTCAATAGCTATAATAACTGAAACTTTTCATGAAGATATCTAAAAACTGAAATATAAGTTTACGAAAACACGAACAAAATATGTATAAATATGAATAATTCTAAAATCGTGCTTATTTATAATTTTTATTGCATTTCAGAAAGAATATATATATGTATATCATAATTAAAGGTATGTCGAATATATCTGGGTTATATAGCTGTATTTATGTAGTAAGGGGCTTATAGAAAATAGTGGCTAGATGAAAATTTCAACCAAAATATTTTATTTGCTTTCATGTTTTATTCAACCAAAACTGTATGTATAATTAAATATATAAAAATATTATCGTAAGTTGATAACTTAGTAGAATATATTTTACTTTAAAGTGGACCATTACATATGTCTTGTCGTCACAACATAATCTTGTCATTAAAACATAAATTACTAAACAATAGTGTAGTGTTGTATATCATATTTTTCTTTTTTGTATTTTTATATTTTATATTAGGTTGAATTTCACATTTTAAAAAATTATAGACTGTCTCAGCATTCATCTATCACATATTCCAGGTCTAATAAAGAATAACAATTGGGCAAACTAATATTGTTTTATGTATAATGTATATATAAGTCTGTGTGTGTATATATATATATATATATATATATATATATATATATATATATATATATATATATATATATATATATATACATATATATATATATATATATATATATATATATATATATATATATATATATATATATATATATATATATATATATGTATATATATATATATAAATATAACATGTATATATATGTATATATATACACTATATATATATATATATATATATATATATATATATATATATATATATATATATATATATGTATATATATATATATAAATATAACATGTATATATATGTATATATATACACATATATATATATATATATATATATATATACATATATATATATATATATATATATATATATATATATATATATATATATATATATATATATATATATATATATATATATATATATATAGTATATATATATATATATATATATATATAAACACGCCTCTAGATTCATTTCAAACTGTATTGATTTTGGTATTGGTCCTAAAGTCTTGATCTTACTTTCTTGATTTTCACAAAAATAATGACTTGACAGGAATAATAGGAAGTTAGAAAGTTTCCAAGCAATAGAAGCCGGTTTTTATTAAGTTTTATTTTTTTGAGTCTTATCTATTGCAAAATTTACCAAACCAACTTTCTTTTGGTAAGACTAATTTGAGTTTGGCTGTCTCGTCTTGTGATCTTAATATTGATGGTTATTTTTCTTTAATTCGTAAAAACTCCAATACTCTGTCACCTTTCTCATTGTTTATATCACTTTCATTCATCTGAGAACTGCAAACTTTTAGATGTTGTTTTTTGATATATTGACCAAGCCCTCTTTCTTTATCCTTCATTGTTGTTGTAGGTGTCTAAATGCTAACCGCACTAATAGAGTTGGCTTTTTAGTTAGTGACTTTGCAGGCATTACTGCCAACAACTTTACTCTTTCTAAGTCTCTAATTCAAAGATTCAACCTTTTTCAACTTGTTTTCCAGACAAACCAAATAATTTACCTTCTCTACTTGACTTAAGCCTTGTTTTGATCCCAGTCAATACTCAGTTTCTCCACATTCACCTTTAGGTGCTTCTGATCACAGTTTGATTTCTCTAAAACTTTTATCTCATTTTTCTTTATCATCAGAATTCTCTTCTTATCGTACCTATTACAACTACCTTAAAGCTGATTGGGACTTTTTCCGTGATTTTCTTAGTGATGACCCTCTCGTATAAATCTTTTGTCTTACTGCTGATAAATTTGCTTCTTTCATAACTTTTTGGGCTCAGGCTGGCATGGAATCCTTTATACCCTCTCGATAATTTTAAGTCAAACATCACTTTTCTCCATGGTTTTTACTACATTGTGCTGCTGCGATTTCCAATCAAAACAAATACTTGTATATCTATCAGCAAAATAGTTTTCTAGAAAACAGAAGTCTCTTATCATTCTATTCAGCCTCATTCTTTTACTGTGACTGTTCCTAAGTGCTCTAAAGTTTTTTGTTTGCTCAGTTTTTCTCAAACATCAGCTCTTTGAAGTTCGCTTCCTTCATTTTGTTTTCCTGATGCATATAATTTGTATTGTTTTAAGTCGTTTGTCAATCGTTACCTTGCTCTATAAACTTCATCTTTTCTCATCCAGCATTCAGCATTCATTGTTCCTAAAAGATAGATTGTTTGTCAAAAGACCAAGTAGTTATATTTGAGGCAAAGTTACAAACGAACCTACACACAATCCATTTAAATCGTTAGACAATAACTAGGAAAAAATGTTTACTTAAATAATAAATTATAAGAATGTAAACAAGTTTGACTAGAAAAGTAACCGTTGAACGTTTATTATAAAAACAGGTGAGATAAAAACATTTCAGAGATTTTAATCTGTTAAGACTGTTAAGATCTATTATTTATAAATGAAATATGTAACATTAATAAAACATCTTTTAATTGAAAAACAAATGATTTCCCTTAATTTATTAAATAAATATTTTTTGCTGGCTGGTAAACTCTTTCAATTTTGTTTATGGTGTTTTTTATACTTTTTGGTTTTTAAAAGTTTTTTTTGCATGTATGGCTTCCGAGACGATTTTACAAGCAATCAGAGATATTGAAAATTATTAAATAAAAAAGTCTGATAATGCCCAAGCATGCACTGACGTTATAAAATAACATTCTTGTTACCATGACCAGAGAACAGTTTTTTTCTCCATAGTTGACAAGGAACAATTGCATGATGTGAAAAGTGTCGCTAAAATGCTCTTTAACTCTAAAGAACATATAAGCGAGCCAAGTCTTTAAGAGCAATACAAAAATACTTTTATAATTACTTTTAATCTTTTATCAATTGTATTTATAAAGTCAACATTTGTTAGAGGTATGAGTTAAGTGGTTTTTGAAAACCTTGGATTTATTAAGAACAATTTTGACTGGTGTCAAGGGTTAGGGTTATGTGTAAGAAATAAATAATATGTATATCTTACTGAAAACTTATAGAATGTTGATTATAAACTGCATATAGTGCCGAAAGAGCTAAAATTTGGTATAGACTATTTGAAAACCCCTACCCCACTTAAAAAATCCTGGATTCGTTACTGGATTGAAACAAATTGTAAACGATTAATTGTTGCTTTGAGGTAGATTCATAATGGTACAAAATTATTTAATGTCTGCTTATCCATGACCCAATAATCGCATACAATAAATTATTCGTTGATTGATATCAAATCTTTTTTATTGTCATAGTTAGAGGTGTAGAACTTATGAAAATAGTTACAACCTCTTTCCATACACTTAAGATAAACCACGTTGTTGAGTATATATCTCACTTAGTGAGAGTGTGGAACAACCACAATCTGGACACAGAACAAAACTTAAAATAGACAGTAAAACAACAACATCGATTTCGATTATTTTTTTCTAAAGCTTAGCTACTCTAACTGGATTTTTTTAATGATTGATATTTCAACTTTATTCATAACCAAAGCGATTTGTTTCAGAGATTACTGATAAAACTTTTTTTTATAAATTTTGTTCTTACAATTAGCATTTACGAAAACTTTTATATCAAACGGTAAAATATTGTCGTTAAAATTTTTTGTTTTTAAATCAGCTATGTTATGATATAATAAATTTTCTTTATCTGAAAGTAAATATTTTTTTTTTCATCAGTTTATTGTTCTTTCTTTAAACTAAATTTTAGAGACCGATTTTTTTTTTTTTTTTTGTACTAATTTTTTGTTTATCTTACATCACTGCTATATTTAGATATTTTGTAAACATGGACCATTTAACCAAGTTAAGTCTCATTTGCAGAATATGTGGAGAACATATAACGAAAGACTCAGTTGTTGTGTGTAAATATGCTGAAAGAATTGAAAATTCATTTTATATTAACACCAGCATTGACAATAAAAATATTCACTCACAAAAAATGTGTAGAAGGTGCTATATTATTATGAGAAACATTGAAAAAGGTTCTAGCACCAGTATTAAAGTAGTTGAATGGCCATTACCATGTGCAAAAAATTAGTACAAAAAAACAAGTGTTCCTGTTTCTCCAAAGTTTCTGGAAGAAAAGCTAAAAAGTGTAAACCTGGTCGGCCATGTAAAATGGAACAAAATCAGAAGAGATGGACCAGGCCAATCATTAATAGCTTAATTGCTAGTATACCAAAACAGACTTTGCGTTTAAATGCAATTGATATTGATCCTGTATCAAATCCCCATATAGACTTATGTATATGCAAGTTATGCAACAGCATTATGTATAAGCTACTAATATTAAAAGAGTGTCAGCATTCTTTTTGCTCTGTGTGTTTATTCAGGAAGATTGAAAGAAAGGTGGAAACAGAAGCAAAATGCTTTATTTGTAATCAAAACATTCCATTAAATACAATTTTATATAACACAATTGTTAGAGCAAGTCATGTATATACACAATATAACACAATTGTTAGAGCAAGTCATGTAAATTAAAATGTGCAGTTAAAGACAATCAGCTTTAAAAAATTGCACGAAGCAATTTGTATTGGTGAACAATTATTACCAACTCAGATTTGAAAAAAAACTCATGATGGACTTGATACAACTCTAGCTGATGTATTTTTATTAAAAGAAAATGATGCTATACCACGGATTGTAGAAGATGCTGCATTACATGTTATAAAGCAAAAGCTCGTTACCTCTGAGTCAAACTTATTTGCATTTCTTTCTGGAGGACCAAGGGTAGGTACATTTTAAATATATACAAAGCAAAAAGAAAATAAACTATATTAAGTTTTGTTTTAATTAATTAAATAAAATTTGATTTCACCTTTTTTTTAGCTTTTGCACTTTATTTCCAACTCAATTGCATATAAAGAGGGCTTAGATATTAGTAAAAGGACAATTAAGAAAAGACATCTTTATATAAAAAAAACTTTAAATCTGACCTAAACAAACTAAAATGAAAGTATGAATAATTAAAAAAACAAAATGTTTAAAATTTGATTTTAGTTGGCTTAAAACCAAAGATATAAAATGTGCATCAAATTAAAAGCAACGAAAAGTAGCTAAATCCTGGTCTGGAGAGGAATGGGTAGTTTGTAATGCTCCGTTTAACTTTCTTCTTAAAGACTCCAGTAATTTATTTGAAGTAAAAAATGCTCCTTGGGGATACATCAAAGAGATTCCGTCACATATAATAAACAAACTCAATCTTCTAAAAAGGTAAACATATTTTATTTCAATGTGTGTATTTAAATATTGTCATTTTATATGTTTTTTTTAATAATTTATTTACTTTCTCAAAGAAATTTATATTCATTTAAAATTAAATAGCAAAAATTTGCTACAGCAATCCAATATAAAAAATGATGAAATTCACATCAACATTGATGGTGATTATGGCGGTGGAACCTTTAAGATGTGTTATCAAATTGTGAATGTTGATAAGCCAAATGCCAGAAGAAACACAAATATTTTTAGTATTTTTGAAGCAAAAGAATACAAACCAAACCTTATTGTGGGTCTTTCAATGTTCACACAACTAGTCAATTGCAGTCACTGTGTTGGAAGTAGGTTTTATTTTATCATATTGTTTTTAATTAATTATTTAGATAAGATATAATTTTTAATTAATTATTTAGATTAGATAATAGATTTTAATCAATTTAGAAAAAATATATATTTAGTGAGAAAAAAATAAGAGTATTTATCTTTAGTGATTACGAGTTTTTATGCTCAGCATATGGAATTACTGGTGCAAATGGTATAAATTCAAATAACAAAATTGTGCAACAAACAAACGTTTTAAAATTGTTGAAGTTGGTGTTTATATTATTTAGTGACATTTTATGGCTTTTTTAACCATGTATTTAAAATGATATTTTCATATAAGGTCGACATGCTTGCTTGTTTTGTCATATAACTCGTGCAGAGATAAAAAAGCCAGAGGCTCAACAAAAACACAATTGTTCCAGTCGCTCGCTGGAAACGCTTGATATTCACCACTTTTCAATATTCCTTTAACACAAGTATTACATTTTTCTAATATATTACATTTTTACTTATTTATATCATTTTAAATATATTTTTATTAATTTTATGAATCTAGGTTGGTATTCCATTAATGCATATCTCATTGGGAATTTATCTAAAAAATTTTAATATGCTGGAAGATAGCTGTCATATTATAGATATAAAAATTGCAGCTAAAATGTGTTTAAAAAATCAAACTGTAAACAACAAAAGTTTTGATGAATATCTTGCACTGCAGTTAAAAATATATAAACAAGAAAAAGTAATTGCTGAATATTATGAAAAAATAACACTAATTCATGATGCAATGACAATACAAGTTCTACATTCTCCGGAAAATTGAGAATACCTCAATTAAGTTTTTCAGTCCAGAATAGTTTATTTTATGGACAAGAAAAATGCTAAGGTATACTAAGTTAATATTTGAAATAATGAAATAAAATATTTTATAGTTCTATGCAAATAAAACAATCAATTTAAGAGGAAATGCTTCTGTGTGTGTTCATGTAAAGCTGTTTTTTATATAGCTTATTGAATTAGAAGAGTTAAAAAGTAAAACATTTGAAAAATCACATGGACCACTTGTGAAAAAACTTGATGAAGTTCTATGTGGTCTTAATGTTCAAAGACAAGCTTACCACGGAAAATGTTTTATTGGGAGTCATGTTCACAAAATGTTAAAGGTATTTCGATTCATATTTTTGTATACTTATAAATATGAATTGTATAAATATTTTTTCAATCACATAAGTTCTTAATGCATAGAGGTGTTAATTTTGTAAATTATAAATTTAATCTTGATCTATTAATTAAACAGTGTCCAAGATCTTTAAAATTCGATACCTAAAATTGTAAGCGATCTTGGATTTATTGATACAAATGTCTATAACGAAGCATAGGTCTTGAGTGATAAATTTGTTCATTTGTTCTCCAAATACGCGACATGTTACACTTTTATGAATTCAAATGAAATAATTATATTAATAATTATATTAATAATTATATTAATAGACTATTTTTTAATATTTTTTTATATTAAAAAAATAATAAAAAATAGTCTATTATTAGAGTTAGGTAAAAATAGATTTTTATAAACTGTTTTGTCTTATGTTACTTGTATTACAATTCCACTTGCTTGTATAATTATTCTTTTTTTGTTTACTACCTTTTTTTTTTTTTTTGAATCAGAAGGAGCCATTGGAAAATTAATAAGTTACCTTCGTAAAACATGGCCCATTCAGTCCATTACACCAAAAATGCATTTATTAGAAAGTCATTGTGTTGATTTTATTGAAAACTGGGGTTGGGGTCTCGACATTTATGGAGAGCAAGGTTTAGAAAGTATGCATGCTGAATTCAACAGTATGAACAGCACCTTTTGCCATATGAAAGGAAAGTAAAGACTAGAAAGTATTCTGTCCAATCACTACATCAAAAACTCCCCAGTAGCTTTGAAAATCAGACCAACTATTCAAAAAAAAAAAGCTTATAAAAAAAAAGCTTGTGATGTTTCTTAGATAATTGTATATAAAATTGTAATTGTATAACGACCTAATTTTAATGTTTATTGTAAGAAAATATATATATTCTACTTCCGAATATAATAAATATTTAATATAATAAATAGCTAATATTTTGGTTACTAGACAACAACAAATATTTTATTTTATATTCATTAGATTAAGTAGATGTGCTATTTCTTACGTTATCTTTGACACCTTGGAAAGTAACTATAGTTACTTTCTAAAGTTTCAGACGGAAATCGTAAATTTTTGTTTTATGAAAAAAGTTCAAATAATATACAGAAAAAAATAATCGGTTTTCCAAAATTTGGCAAATTTTTTAAGTATCTTAAAATTCTTTCTCTTAAACATTTCAGCTTTTCTCAAAAAATTCATTTAAGTAGTGTAACGAGGGGCAAAATGAGACACTTAAGCGCTAATATATCTAATACGGCCGTCTAACAACTTTTGAAAAAATAAATTAATTTTTTTCAATTCTTCTACGATCCTACTTGAAGTCTAAAAAGTATGAGTTGCAAAACTGCAGTAGTTTGGTCACCAGAGATCATTTATTGACAGCACCTATCCTGTCTCATTTTGCCCCGCATACCGGGGCAAAATAAGACAGATTTTTTTTTTAGTAATTTAAATAAATAAAGTAAAAAAAAAACAGATCTTTAAGAGGGTTAGCAAGAAATACATTTAATAATATATTACAGCTATAATCAAACTGTCACTAGTCACATAAATCACATATTGCTTGACCAGTATTTTGAAACGAACAACAGTCCGAATGAGCCCAGGTTGTACATTTTGAAAATTGACTCCACTTATATATATATATATATATATATATATATATATATATATATATATATATATATATATATATATATATATATGTATATATATATATATATATATATATATATATATATATATACATATATACATATATTTAAAAATATATAAAAATAGACATATATATTTTATAATATATATGTCTATTTTTCCTTTAAAATAACTTATTGACTTTATATGTATACATATATTTTTTTTGGTTCCATAAATTTTTTTATTTTTTTTTTTTTGTGTTTTTTTGACTTTATATTTTTTTATGATTTTTGTTTTTTTATTTTAATGCCTTTGTGCAGATAGAAATCGAGAATAAGAAAAAGGTTTTAAAAAAAGTTGATTAAGTGTAAATATTTTAAGTAAAGAAAAAAATTAATTTAGAAAAATAAAAAGGTACAGGACTTTAACACAAATACCACATTACTAAAAACTATAAAGAAACATGCAAATAATATTTTATATAAGGGCCGGCAGTGGTTGTCTAATCATAAATAACAATATTTTTGTAGTAATTAAAGAAATTATATTTGTAGAAAACAGGCACCACTTAACTAAACGTTTAGATCTTGTTATGAGCCGGTGTATTTGTTTAACTCATATGATTAGTTTCAGGTTCCCATTTTCTATTTGACAAAAAACGCTATTGATACAAAAAATTTGACAGAAAATGTTTGCTGTGTTTCTACGGAAATGGTAACTATATTTTAAGGTAATAATATTTCTGATATTTCTGATAATTACCCTGATCACTGCATTGGGTCAATTTTTGAATTTTTAAACAAATGTTGGCATCTGCTGTTCCATATTTCACTCATAATGGTTTGAGTGATTGTCAAAAGCAACTGCGAGGTAGGGTTTTTTTCCAATAAATTTGCAATTTCAATCAAAAATATCGAATTTATTGGAAAAAAGTTGTTTTGGGATGTCAAGGAGTTATATACATGTTTAAAGTATTCCCATATTGTAACAGAGGGAGGACAGTAGACAAAGATGTGCAGATTGTCCTCAATTTTTCCGCATTTGCTGTTTTTAACGATCTGTTGCCTTCTACTTTTGGCAAGCAAGGCAGCGGAAGGTAAGCGGTTGTGAAGAAATTGAAAGAAAATGTTTTGTGTTGGTCCATATGCGTGAGAGGTAAAGTTTTTTTTCCAAATCTGGGTCGACGGCATTGTTGTTTTTGTTGAACTGTTCCAAATTAGTTCAGCTGGCACGACTGTCTTTTTGTTTTTTGCCACTTCTAAATAAATATTTTCTGTTGTTTTTAGGGGGATGTTAAACAGGGACCCCTTGTTTGCTTAAGAATTCAATTGTGGTTTTGTAGTACTGAGACATTTTGTTGTCCCAGTGTTCCGGAAAAGTGTTTTGTCTTAAAAAGTTCCAACTTTGGTTTTGTTTAGTAAATTTTACAACTGAACTTGTCAACCAATACTTTGAAAAGTAGTAAAAATTGTGAGTTTTGCCCTCTTCACACTCTTTTATTTGAAAGAGCGTTATGAGGTGGAGCGCAAGACTTTGCTCCTTCGGTGATAATAATCCGAGACCCCGCTTTTGACGGGTAGGAAAAGTGTCTCTCGTTTGACCGGATTAAAATTGGTCTTTTGCCACAGATTTTTGAAAATGGCTCTATGCAAACGCTCTATTACCCAATCAGGAGTGGGCAACACGTTTGCTAGAAACCACACTTTTGACATTGCTAGCGTATTTATCAAATTAGTCTTTCCTCTAAGTGCCAAAGTACGCAGTCCCAGAAACTTGAGCTTTTTCTCTATTTTCTTAAGAGCTACTTGCCAGTTGAAATTGGTAGTATTGCTCAATCTGGTATAAAAGGTAACACCTAAAATTTTAGAACCAGTGTCGTCGTTCCACTCTATGTTATCCAATTCTCTGTAAATTTCAGGATCAAAACACCCAAGAGCAAGACCCCTGGTTTTTGAGGCGTTGATCACTGAACCACTTGCTTTTTCGAAGATTTTTACGTTTTTAAAGAAATAGCGGACACATTTTACGTCCTAGGCAAAAAAGTTCGAATCGTCTGCGTACTGCTGTAGTTTTAGAGGTTTCGGTGCTCCCGGTATAAGAAAATCCTCTATTCTGCTGTCCGCTCTTATCACCAAAGCCAAAGTTTCGGCGACAAAAACGTACAACGAATGAGAGGGTCGCCTTGTCTAACACCTCTTTCTATAAGAAAAGAGGTCGACAGGAAGCCGCAATTCAGAACTGTTGCCGAAACTTCTGAATACAAGGTGTTAATAAAAGATACAAAATTTTCTCCGAGATTAAATATTTGGAGAATTTGCAGCAGAAACGCACGATCGACTTTGTCAAACGCCTTTTCTTGATCTATGGTCAAAATGAAACTAGGTAGTTTTTTAAATTCAGCGTAATTTATAAGATCATGTGCTAGATGAAAATTTGAAAAAATGTTTCTACCTGGAGTTCTGCAAGTCTGATTTGATTCTATAATTTTCCCCATTACTTTTGCAAGTCTCAGGGCCAGCGCTTTTGAGATTATTTTGTAATCGGCGCCGATTAAAGATATTGGCCTCCAATTTTTGCATTTAGTAAGATTTCCTTGTTTGAGATTCAGTGAAATTATTGATTTTTCATAGAGTGGCTAGTATTTTTTTCTACAAAAAGAATTTCGTAGGCAGTTTCTTCAAAATCTTTTTCTAAAATGTTTTGTAAAATTCAGCTGGAAATCCGTTATAGCCCGGAGATTTTCCGTTTTCAAATTTAAAAAGGGCTTATTTAAGTTCTGTGCCGGTTAGGCGGGTGTTTAAAAACTGGTTTTCATCATCACTCAAACGTTTAATGATGTGTGACAAGACATAGTTTTGGCTTTCGTTGCATAAATTTGTTTTGGTGTA